TCCTTTATGCAAAGAGTATTATTCAATGAATACCTTAAAGCATTTTTTAGCCAAGGTTTTATTTTTTATGTGTTATCCTTAAAGCACTCTTCACGTCAAGGATATTATTCGACAAATAACTCGAAACGCTCTTCACACTGAGGGCGTTATTCAAAGAATACCTTAAACTCTTCATGCTAGAGTTTTATTTTTTGTTTTTCGACCTTAAAGCAATATTCATGCTAAGGACATTATTTGACCAATACCTTAAACGCCCTTCATGCCAAGGTTTTATTTTTTATGTTTTGATCTTAAAACACTCTTCATGTCAAGGTAATATTCTACAAACACCTTAAAACATTATTCATACCAAGGCATAAAGTGTTTTTCACATTAAGGGTGTTATTTGACGAATACCTTAAAGTAGTCTTCTCATAAAGGGCATCATTGACAAATATCTTAAAATGTTTTTCACACCAAAAATATTATTAAGTGAAAACCTTAAAACATTTTTTATGTCCATATTTTATTTTTTGTTTGTCAACCTTATAAAAGTGTTCTTCATGCCAAGTATATATTATTCCATGAATACCTTAAAGCGTTTTTTATGCACGAGGTGTTATTCAACAAATACCTTAAAACTTTCTTCACTTCGAGGTTTAATGTGTTTTTCACATCAACGACATTATTCAAAAATATTTTTCACGTCAAATTTTTTTTTCTTTGTTTATCGATTGTAAGCCTTGTTGTAACATTAGAATACCACATTTAAAGTATTATTTATTTTAACGTTCATTGGATTATCATAATTTTATCTTTAAAAAATGTATATACTTTTATACAATTAAATATGATAAAACAATATCAAATAATTTCAAAAAAAACCTTAAAACTAATAATAATTGAGTAAACACTAGCAATAATTTATTTATTTTTCATCTTCAAATAATATATGACTATACTAATAAAATTAAGTTAATATATGGCTACAACTTACTATATTTATATCTGTATAAATCAGCTAGAAAAATTGGGTGCAAAAGAAACGGTAATTCCTATATAATTCCTGCTAAAATTGAGTCGTATTTTAAATTTGAATGTGTTTAATCAAGTGTGAGCATAGGTACCCGAATTTTGAGTATCGGATGATTTTTTCTATTTAACTCTATACCTTCTGACAAGTAATTAATAACGATAATTTTAAAAATAAATATTATACATCAAAATAGATAGTATATTTTATAATAGTGAATAATGTATTTGATAGCATTTCATACTCACATATTATGTAAATATATAAAATATTTAATAATTTTAATGTGTCTAATTCCCAATTAAAATCAAAGAAAGGGTAAAAAGTAACAAAGTATTTTTTTGGTAGAGTAAAAAAATAATTTGATAACAATTAAGAAAACAATTTACTCAAGATGCCATATAAACTTGGATAAGTAGAATATTTTAAATAAATTTAATCATGATAATTTTTAAACAAAATAGATGTGACTAAATCACTAAGGTTAGCCTAGTGACGGGTGAAGAGAGACTGGAGTAGTTAGAAGTATGAGGATCTAGGTTCAATTCTCATTACTTTATAAATAATATAAAAAAAATGCTATTCATTTGTGGTTTCTTTTCCAAACTACTTAAAGTCACCTGTTTTCCAATCATCGCGGCATAGTCATAAGAAAAATAGAGCTGCTTGTTAATTTAATAAAATTGACCAATAATAGCTGGAAGTTCTTTATATCATGAAATTGGTAACAATCACGTCATCTTTAATATCAATTAGTAATATGATAATTTTTAAACAAATAATTGTAATAAAGGTGCTATAAAAACAGTAACAAATTATCAGAACAATTATAATATTACATGTTTATGAGAATTAAAGTGAAATGCTAGAACAATTATATTAATGTATGATTATAGCAATTAATATGAAATAATGAAATAATTATAATAATGCATGATTATAACAATTAAAACGGAATATTAGAACAATTATCATATTATTTAGACAAGAAACATTGCCCGTGACAAGAGTGAAATAAAATCAGCAATGCTGCTTTTCAAATTGAGTAGATTAGCAAGTAGTATTGCGTGATATTAAAGAAGAGTTAATCATTTATACACTGTCAGTGTAAAGTTTTTTTATACTAGCAACTAATTATATTTTTTAATTGTATCATATCACTGTAAACACATTTACTTTTAATAATGACACAATCAAAAGATATAATTAGTTGTCCGTGTAAAAAAAAATTTCACTGACAGTGTATAAATGATTAACTCATTAAAAAATACATCAAATTGAATTTGATATTAATTTGGATTGGATCACGGCGTCCGAACACAACATAAGCTACCGTGATTCACATTAGCCGGGAGGGCGAACAAAGACAGCATAATCTTCTTTAATTTTTTAGTGCTTGATTTCAATCTAATTATCCATATAACAATAACAATGACGTCTCACAGTATTACCGTTCTTGCATTGCATGGATAATTCACACATACAATTAAATCAAAACATGTTTGCATAGATATTTTTAACGAAAGAAACGAAAAAGGTGTATTTTTTTAATAATAATTAAAAAATAAAAGAAGATACAAGTTAGATACTTAGCTGTTTTTTTTTTAAATGTTTAAGTAGTTTTACCAAAATCTGAAGAACGACATAGAATTATTAAGAGACACTCGAACTTGTAATATTATTCCAAAATTGGTGTAATGATGAAGCCTCAAAGTACCACAATTCCATTAAATTTCTTCAAACTCCTCCGTGTGGATCTTGAGAAGATTTAAGGAAGATTTCCGGATTGAAATGGAGGAGCAATGTTGAACTAGAATGAACTAAGGTTCTCAGATAGAAGTAAGCAAACCTAAATCTACAAAGAAAAAGGTTCAAGGCAACAAGGAGAAGGATACTCTCCTAAGGTAACTTCGGTTTAGAGAAGATTTCTTAAGAAAAAGAATTTCTCATTCAATATCCAAAGTAATGCGATTACACGTCCAAAGTGAATATATAGGCTAAGGAAGTATGCTAGGAAAGCTTGGCTAACCTAAGGTTTAAGTCAAACCATGGTATGATTAATTAAACCTTAGGCGCCAAAATTTGAATGTTTAAATTCAAATTTTGGAGCCAAACCGGATCACCCATGTGCTACTTGATTTGAATGTAATTTGGTATTCATTTGCCAGTAAATTTCGAACCCATGTACTTCACTCTAAATGTAATGCTAAATTTCATTTAAATTGAGATGCACATGAAACTACTTTTAGCCTAAAATTCAAATTACATTGAAATTAAATTCTTAATCTACTTAGCCAAAATACAAGACCCACAAATCAAAATTGCAAGCCCAATAAGCTAAACCTAATCTACATAGACTTTAATGTATAGCCCAACTAAAAAGAACTATGGGCTTGTCTTTAAAAGTTGCTCACTCTTCATGCATTCTTTTGACCGTAGATAGCCCTAGTAATTGGGTCTTTGGCCCATGGACCTCCATCATGTAATCTCGTCTTCAAATAAAAATGAGAGGTGTAAGAAGAGTTTTACCAAATTCTACGATAGATGTCAAACTATTATAATATGGAACATCCTCTAAAAATATAATAATTTTTTAATATGTATAAAATATTTATTTAAAAAATTATATATTTAATATAAATATTTTAACATTATATTAATTAAATATAATAAATAACATTTTATCATAAAAACACTGGTTTATTTAAATATTATAAAATATTTTATTAAAAACATCAATTGAATGATACCTTAATATATACTTATATATTACATTTAATATATGTAAATAATACTATATAATAAAAATACTATACTATTTAAATATTTATAAAAATATCACACTAACTGATTAAATGTTATTCTAATACTTATCTTCTACAATTTTATTATACATATATGTAACACAAAAACATCATCAAAATAATCAAAACAATACATGCATGTTAGTTGTTAACCAAAATAATAATAATAATAATAATAATAATAATAATAATAATAATAATAATAATAATAATAATAATAATATATAAATTAAAATTAATAATTTAAAATATATTTTTTTAATTTGTATTTAATTTAGCAAAATTTATTAAAAAATAATAATTAAATATTTAAATTAAAAGATAAATTATAAATTATTAAAGTGTAAAATATTTGAATTTATTAAGGAAAAAATATTTAGCATACGATGAGAGAGTGGTATAATATTTATATTTGTAAGAGGATGTTAATAGTATTTTAGTAATAATTTTTTTTTTAATAGAAGTTAATGAAACTTTAATAAAAAAATTTAAAAAATAGATAAAATATTATATATTAAAATCTATTAAGGAGAAGTGTAGTTTTTAATTTAAAAAAGAATAACAATATAATATTTACATTTTTAAGAAGAGGGAATCAAGTGTAATTTACTATATATATACATTATAATTCATAATTCAATCACAAACTATTGATAAATTTGTTGACACAATTAATAATCACCTTAAAACTCACATCAAAAATGATTTTTAATTAATTAATTGTATAACTAAAAATATTTTGATAATATAGTTACTATAAAAGATAATAAAATTATTAGATATATTACCTTGAATTAGTTGACTTGTTGTTCTGTAACATTAAGTATCTTATCTGATAGTTGTATTTGTAAAATTAAAAATTTGTAATGTCGTAAAGGAGATGATAAAGATAAACAGTAGGATTAGGAATGGTACATTTGGAAAGAGAAAAGCAAGACGATTCTATTCCTTACGTTTGGCCCAAAACCTTTTCACAATTCCTGCGGGAAAAGAAAGCAAAAGCATTAGCAAATACCAAAGCAATTAAAATTAATCAATCTCCCAGGGGTACTTTCGTCCAACCCCTATAAATATTCCCATCGAGTAACCACCCATAAATACACCTCCCTTAAGACTCTAACCATTACCATATATACACATCCAAACAGGGACTTAAACTTGTACAAAGTTACAACACCAACACCATGTTCGCGGCCAAACCCAAACGTTCCCAGCGCGGCGTCGTTTCATCCACAACCTCCAACTCCAACAAGCTATTGAGACTACCGCACGTCTTCGCCAAAATTCTAGAGCTTCCTTTTCCCTCAGACGCCGACGTTTTCGTGGAGGAGACAAAACACTGTTTCCGCTTCGTGGCGGCGTGCAGCGGCGGCGGTGTGCGAGCTCAGGCCGTCGAGATTCTCCCGGGGATAACCAAAATCGTGATCAAGAGAATGGACGGTGGTGATGTCGCGGTGGAGGGTCAGCAGCAGCAGCAGCAGCATGTTTCTCTAGGGCTTGGTCTCTGGCGGTTCCGGCTCCCGCCGTGCTCTCAACCGGAGATGGTAAGCGCCGTTTGCAGCGGCGGGAAGATGGTGGTGACGGTGCCGAAGAGCAAGAGCAGATGAAACTGATTCTGGAATATATGAGAGGCGTGTGCTTTGCAAACTAGTATTTCTGTTTTGTACATAAACTATATATGAGGCCTCTTTTCATATTCTCATATTCTCTAATAAAACCCCTCCACGTCACCTCTTTATTTTCCTATCCTGCCTTTAATTATGCTTAATATACATTCTTTTTTATCATCATTGCTAAATTACTAAATTCTTTTTTCATTATGCTGCTGCCACTCATTCTCATGGAGGAGCATGCATTTCAAGATCAAATTATGCGGCTACTGTAAAGCGTTTCTGATGCCTCCAACCATTTTTCTTTTTCTCTCTCTTTTTCTCGCTACCACAAGTGTCACGTTACATGGATCGAATCGTAGGATGCTCTTACCAGTAGTACCTATAGACTGCATGATGAACACTACCCAAATCTTTCATTTCCACATTTGCAAATCCTAATTAATAAACCCAGTGTTGATCAACTCTATTGCTTTTTCTACCAGATTAGCATGGTTAAAGTTACCACGTTTAAAATATTATATATTTTGACATTCATTAAATTTTCTAAATTTTTCCTATAAAAATATATATTAGAGTTAAAAAATGAAAATATTTGTTTAATTTCTAAGTTGTGTGAAATTCAGTAATTAAGTCCTCTTTCTGGTACTAATATTCCGACCATTAGTCAATTGATATTAAGTCTGGAGTGTTATTCTCTTTATAAATTATTGGAGCATCATAATTAATTAAGAAGGATGTATGTTTATAAACTATTTTTCAGTTGACTAGTTATGCAAAACTTTTAGGCTTATGTATACGTGGGGAGTTACTTTTTGGAGCAATTAAAAATGTTATTTATATATTGTTTTCTGAAACATTATTTTACTATATTTTATATGCCAATGCGGTTGCGTTCCAACGGAACCCACTGGTCTCTTAAAGTGACAAATCATGGTTTGAATTACTGCTGTAAGTACATTTTGACTTGTTTGTGTGTCGAGCAGAATATTTATATTTATATAATATTGTATACACTAAAATAAAATAATTTACAATTTATTGTTTCTCAAACAAATACACGTATGCAATTTTAGAAGTTTTGGATAGTTAATTTACAACTGCATGACTATGTATTTTTCTTTCTTTTTTTCACCCTGATCATGTTCTGCATTAACAATTTAACATGTAGAATAATGAGGGAAAAATAAATTAACATGTATAATTGTTGTAACTAATTAACTTTTAACATCAAGCATACATGCGAGACAAATGGAATTTGATCGGACAGAAATGCATATTAAGCTTGTGAATTATTATTGTATCACTTGAACTAATTAGCAAAAGTTAATTTACAGAATAAAATCTATTTCCATTACACATATGTTCTAATTCATTTTAACATTGTGTATTTATACAATATTATATACTAAGTAAATTCTTTTTGGCAGAATTCACTTACATTCAATTATATAGCTTTATACATAGTTCTCAACTTGCTATGGGTCTATTAGTTTGTTTATTAGTTTGATTATTAGAACATAGTTTCAAAATAAAATAAAGATGAGGCTTATTTATTTTAAAATTAAGTAGAACTAATTTTAAATTATGAAAATATTCGTTCAAGTCAATTTTTAATCGTGCATTTTGTACCAAAACCTATCTACATGTCCTCTCTAAAAACGTTTTATATGTTAATTTCTTGGAATTTGGAAATATACATTATCTACATAATACTAATAATAAAAACTATATTAAAATTTAAAAATAAGTAATCATATAAATTAGTGAGCGGGCATTATTTTTTTTAATCATAGAGTGAGAATTTTTTTTTACAAAAATCTTATTTAGAGGTAAAAGTGCCTAATTTAAAATATTAAAAAAAAGTGACTACCGAAATATATTTCATTTATAATAAATTTATATCTATCTTTTAGAAACAAAGTATATATATATATATATAATATATTATTTTTATCACATTACTTATTACATATCTTATATATTTTCTATTTGCATCGCTTCCTATCTCTCTCTTTTCTTTCATCCCAATATATGTTCACATTTTTGTTAGAGTAAAGCACACATATGAAAACTGTGTATATTTCTCTGAATCATGTACTTGAATTTATAGTACATCAAACACATTTGAATTAACTACCATCTAACAAAATTAACTGACTCAACAAAATTGAATTAATCTCACAACACACTCCCTTTAATTCAATGTATCTAAAGACACTACATGAGCATGCTTCTTAGATCTTTGAATCTCTCAATCTTCATGAGTTTTGTTATGATATCTATTGTCTGCAATTCTGATTTGCAGTACACTAGCTCAAGTCTCCCTTTGTTCACCTAATCGCATAGAAAATGGTACTTTGTCTCAATATGCTTGCTCCTTCCATGTGTCACCGAATTCTTCGCTATGTTGATGGTTGACTTGTTATCAACCAAGAGTTGCATTGGGTCCTATAGTTCCACTTGTAGTTCCTTGAGTAGGGATCTCAACCAAAGTACTTGACAGGCTGTATGTGATGCAACAATGTACTCTACCTCACAGCTAGACAAAGCCACCACTGTTTGCTTCTTGGAACACTAGGAAATAAGTGCTCCATGGAGCTTTAATGCATATCCCATAGTGCTCTTTCTATCCACTTTGTTGCCCCACCAATCTGAATCAAAAAAATCCAATTAAGCCTTCAAACAACTTGTTAGGAAACAACACATCATAGTAAGGACTCTCGTTCAAGTATCTCAGTATTCTCTTTGCTGCCACTAGATGAGACTGCCTAGAATCCTCCATAAATCTACTTATGAGGCCGACTGCATATGAAATGTCTGGTCTGTTGTTGCTGATGGGAAACAACAACACAATAACAAGACAGAGCAAACTTAAACAATTACCGCAGCGAAAATAAATTTCCCTAACTTGCAAGAATCTGTGAAGAGCAACAACCAATGAACAACAATAATAAATCACCAAAATCACACACAAAGACACCAAGATTTTTGACGTGGAAAACCCCTTAAAGCAAGGGTAAAAACCACGAGTCGTCCACACCAAAGAAATAGTTTCACTATGATCAACAAAGAGTATAAAAGAGTCTCAATCAACTGCACAAAATAGTGCTAACAGCCAGCCAAATAACAAAGAAATAAAGCTTACAATTAGAGAACAAAGAAGATGAAAAACCCCAAATACACAGCTATATTGCGAACTGAATATCTCCATACTCAGACCTCGTTTCAACGATCCAATCGATCAGAATGAAGAACTGAATGTCACGAACCTTCTGTTAAATTTTCAGCTCGATCCAACGGTGAACACATCTACAGTATCGATTTTACTATCGCAACCCTATGTAAAAACGAGAATAACTTTCTCTCAAAGTGTTGGTGTTCTAAGTGAGTTCTAATTTCCCTCTTTCTCCCTCTTGTGCTTCAGACCCTCTCTCCACTTAGTTAAGTGAGACATTAAATGGGCTTCTCAATTTTGGGCCTTTTCTCTACATAGGAAGGGGGCCCTATACCCAACAAATCTCTCCCTCACAACTATGTGGAGATAACTGCCAAACCGGCGATTTCACAACAAACTTCAAATTTTCCTCTTGGCAATGCTTTAGTCATCATATCAGCACCATTATCATCAGTATTAATTTTAACCAACTCCAAGAGTTTAGCATCCAAAGCATCACGTACCAAAAGGATATTTGTCAAGATGGATAGCACTCTAAATATCAATAAATAAAGGATATTTGTCCTACACAAAACCAAGCTCTTGCAAGATATTCTTCAACCATAGAAATTCCTTGCATGCTTCAGTAATGGCAATGAACTCTACCTCTGTAGTAGACAATGCTACACACCTCGGTAGCCTTGATTGTCAAGCCATAGCTCCCCTCGCAAACTTAATCAAATAGCCCGAAGTGGACTTTCTGGAATCAACATCTCCAGCCATATCTGAGTCTGAGTAACCCACCAAAGTAGGCTTATCCCCTCCAAAACAAAGCTTCATATCAACAGTACCATGAAGATACCTCATAAACCATTTCACAGCATTCCAATATTCTCTACCTGGGTTTGACAAAAATCTACTGACTGTACCAACAACATCTGCAATATTTGGTCTAGTACACACCATTGCATACATCAAACTACCCACTACAGATGCATAAGGAACTCTCTCCATGTCTAATTTCTCAGCTTCATTTAAAGGACTTTGTTTAACACTCAATTTAAAATGAGTAGCAAGAGGAGTGCTCACAGCCTTAGCATTTTCCATTTGGAATCTCTGCAACACCCTTTTAATATATTGTTTCTGTGATAGCCAAAACTTCACTTTCTCTCTATCACGAATGATTCTTATACCAAGAATTAGTTTAGTAGCTCCCATGTCTTTCATGGAAAATGACTCGCCCAATTGTTTCTTGAACATGTCAATCTTGGAAACATTTTTCCCAATAATAAGCATGTCATCAACATACAATAACAGGATAATAAAGTCATCATCAGAAAACCTTTTAACAAAGACACAATGATCAGAAGTAGTCTTCTTGTAGCCTTGCTCACACATAAAAGACTCAAACTTCTTATACCACTGTCTTGGAGCCTGCTTCAAACTGTATAGACTTTTTCTCAGCTTACATACACAGTCTTCCTTGCCTTTAACCTGAAATCCATCAGGTTGTTCTTCCTCCAAATCACCATGAAGGAAAGCAGTTTTCACATCCATTTGCTCTACCTCTAAATCAAGAGTAGCTGCCAAACTCAAAACTGCTCTAATGGATGACATCTTCACCACAGGTGAGAAAATCTCATTGAAATCAATACCCTTTCTCTGTCTGAAGCCTTTCACCACTAATATGGCTTTGTACCTTGGAGATGTAGAATTACTTTCTTGCTTCACCCTGAAAATCCACCTATTTTATAAGGCCCTCTTGCCTTTAGGCAATTTCACCAAGTCATAAGTGTGATTATTATGCAAGGATTTCATCTCATCTTGCATTGCATCCAAC